TGTTCTAAGCGTGGCCCAAACATGAAACCTTCGGGTTAACCAGCGCGCTAGAAATGATCTCAGAAAAGAAAAACCCTAACCGTTCCAGAAGTTATCGCATTCATTCCGCTAGTCGTGCATAAGTTATCAATTGCCGTACAACACCAGGATCTATGTTAGGCATCAGCAGTGCGCCAAGCAAGCTTTCTTTCCTTGGGATGATCCCCGACGGGAACCGTAACGTGGCGTTGGAATCAGCAAGCTTTGACTTCTCAGCCAGTCGACGCAGAATTGCCAAACCCCGATTGATTATGGAGCTGTAAGCAGCAGCCTCCGCTTCGGCTTGACCCCTTGCGGCATGGGATTGGCGGGAGTTGGTGCTCGGTGGAGGAACTCGTTCTGTGCTCAGGAGGCATGAGAGTCGCAGCAGATGAATGGCAAACCCGTCGGTCGACTCCAGCCATGACTTGGCAATAGGTCCATCAGCAAAGCCTGAAAGGATGTCCGCTGCCAATAGGCCTTGCATGAGGAAAACTTTCCGAGCATCCGCTATAGCCAAGGGTTTCCGCGGTTGATCAGGGACCGGGCAAATGGCAAGACCAAAGGCACGGGTCAGCAACTCTTGCTGGATCGAAGCACCATCGCCAGAAAAGATTGCTCTGAAGAATGTCCGGTTGGGCTCGTCCCGTGCCAAAAGCTTGGCCAAGCTATCAACCGCTGCCGGTGTGTATTTATGAATAGAGGGGTTGTATGAATTGAACATAATGCCCTCCGAGCTCATAGGACCTGGGAATGGTGCAAAAGCAAGAAGGAAATGCAGAAGACAAAGTGCTTCTTCCTTACTCGGTAACTGAATGGTGTGAGCCACGTTGCTGAGGTAAGTGACTGTGTCCTTCATGAAATCCAGTGTGTTTTGATGTGTTCTTAGTAGCATATTGCGAGTGCCGAGGTAACGAATGATAGTCGACATGAATTGAACAACCGGAGGAGTAGACAGCATTCCAAAGTTCGACTCGATAAACGAGAAATTGCGTAGTATGGTTGTGATGCAGATGAGTCGGTCGACGGCACGGTCTAGTTCGTAGTCGAGGCTGCCGAATTCTGGTACATCCGCCAAAGACGTCCACTCCGATTGACATCCACGAGTCACTTCTTCATATGAAGATAGAAGCATCATATCAGACACTTCCGCAGCATGTTCCGCAAGAAACTCTGCCTGGTCCTCGGCGCATTCTATTAAGCTCTCCACCAGATCGTCGCAGTTATCTAACGATATTTGGATCGCCGGCTCTGAAGATATGGATGTAAGCGTATCCAAAGCCATGCGCATTTCAGCATGGATCCCGGATTTGATGCTCATTGTGAGAGCGTGGATATCAATTACACCCAGCTCAGCAAAACTGGGGACATTAGGCTTCAGTCGAGAAATATCCTCTCCGATCTGATACATTTCATCGATGGCTATGGGTCCATGGAAGCTGCTTTCTGGCAAGACCATGGGTTTGTAAGGATCCTCGATTTTATGCTTCAATGGCTGATCTGACTGATCCAGCTGTTCTGAGGGCTTCACCGGGACTGGAACTGGGCCTTTACCCGGCTGCGCAGGCGATTGACTCGGTAATTGGCCAGTAGGATCATTTGGCGTTGCTGGAGGTTGTGACTGGCGGGAAATACTGAGACGGTGCTGATTCTGCGGTTTGCCTTGAGTTTTAACAGGTGTAGGTGTCGCGAAACCATTTGAAGCATTATGTTGTACGCTACTCGATACAGACGCGGGACTTGGCGATGGGTGTCCCATCTGCTGTGCATTGTCATACCCCTGGCCCGGTTTGATGGCGGGAGACTGGAACTGCATGGCAGACGGATCACTGGGTTGGCGTGGCACCGCGTTTTGCTGCATCTGGTCCGCAAATTGCTTCTGCTGGGTGCTGAGGAAGGCCTGCTCATACGCAGCTAGGTTCCGCTGATAATGCTCCCTAAGCTCCTGCATGGCCATCGGCAGCTGCATCGGCGGGAACTGAAGTTGCTGTGCGATGACATGCCACATATTCGCAGCCGTTATCTTCTTTGATCCTCCGAGCTTCATGACCGTAGCATAAAGCTGGACCAGGTTGATCGGGCGACCGCAAACAACGGGACTAGGATCGAGAGGCAGGTTGCGCGACATCATGAACTTCTGCAGTGACCTCATAAACCCTTCGGGATTAGGCGGCTTAGCCATAGTCTGTTGCATCTGCCTGATGGCGGCCATTTGTTGAGGATTGGCCATCGCGTTCATCCCAGCTGCCACGGGTCGCCCGGCCATAGCGGGATTCATCGCCATTGGACGACCCTGGTTTTGCATCTGCATGGCATGCATTCGCTGCTGTTGCTGCTGGGCAGCTATGGCCTGCTGATACCCCTGAGGCATACCACCGTAATGTGCCTGCATCGGCGCCTGCACAGCGGCAGTAGTCATTGCAGGCGCGGGCGGGAACTGGGGCGCCATGGCCTGAGGGTACGGTTGATTGGGCATAAACGAGCTGTTTTGCGGCGTGTTCACCCTACTCGGATGATCCGACTGTGACGGAGACATGTGGGAGCCTACTTGAGGGCCGGCTGGGGAGAACGGGCTGGGCGAAGCTGTGCCCATTCGTTGTACACCATGTTGGTCGAATTCCTGCATGATCGGAGATTGGGTGACGTTCGGAGAAGCTCCTTGCTGGAGGTGTTGGTACGGAGTGGGATGCGGAGGATATTGGGGTGCGCCATTCGCAGCTCCTTGGTACCCTGGAAATGGCACCTGGTGAGGAGTCTGAGACCGGGATGCCGCGACAGCCCCAGGAGCCTGTCGAGGCGACATCGACATGGCATCCTCCGGTCGCGGCCTTTTCGACGGAATCACCTGGTTCGGGTTGTGGAAGCCAGGGGAGGCATTTCGCGGCACGCCATTGAACATGCGCTGGAACTGGGTAGGGTCGGGAGTGGGAGAGGTATGGAGGAATGCCGCAGAAGGATCAATGGTCGCCTGGTGAAAAGCACCATTGTCATGGTTCGGAAGGTTCGAGGGGTCGGCGAGCCAGGAGGCATTCATGTCGAGTGTTTTACCAACCCATCTGTAAGGTAACGAGAGCTGTCAGAAAAATGACACGAGCACCAAGGTCATCATCGATACGCGACCGATAAGAACAGCAGTGTTACAATCATCACGAGCTTATTTTTTAGGGGTAAATGACACAATCGCCCAGGTTTGTAGGGTGGAAGAGGGTCTAGACGCGTCAGGTGAGGAAGCTGACAGTGAAGGGTGTCGCGCTGTCGCTCTGCGACACGAAGCAGCGACCACACACCACACCGAGGACAGCCACCCCAACGTGTAGATTGGGGAGAGACGGGGGGTAAATGGGATACTCTGGGGTGGGTGGATTGATGTTTTCTCAAAAAGGAAAATTGTAAGGGACAGGCAGGATGTACATACCGACAAGGCTGGACAACTAAAAATGCCGACTCACAAGCGGATGGAGGCCGGTCCCGAATAGCAGTGGTTGGAAGGCCGGAGAGAGAGATTGCGAGGAGATCGAGCAGGTCACGGGACCATGGAAGGTCGCTGGTACCGCAAAAAGGGCAGAAAATCAAGTGAGGATTCGCAGCGGCGTTGCGAGCGGCACTGAGTGGCAGAAGACCGATCAGCAAATCGCAAGGCGACCTGGGAAGTATGGGGGTTTCAAAGTGGATTTGGTAAATGACAACAGGCTGCAGATATTAAAATGATCAAAAGCAGAATGATGGATCAGCCATAGAAGGGCCTGTAACCCATGGAAGAAAGGGACCACCAGCGATGGCTTTTGGGGCAACGTGCGCGGTACTCCCGAGGAATGGGAGGGTAAAAGGGTGGCCAGCACTTTACTTAGTGCGTGGCCACAGTTGTGTGAGGCGTGTGGAAGGCAAATCCAATGACTGGGAGACAAGCGGGGGGGATGGGATCAATAGTCAGGAATGACAGGCGTACCTGGACTTAAAGCTCCGTAAAGATTTGGTACACTGCAGTACCTGAAAATCTGGTATTTTATTCGAGCCGATTAATTTTGGATTTCTAGATTCCTTTTTGCTTCCCAAGGGAAGGGAGGGGGCGTCTCCTTCTGGAAAGGTGGAGAGGCACACGGGGTTGGGAAAGGCAGGAATGGGGACGGGCGTGGAGTGATCAGAGGCGCGCCTCACGAGTCGAGAATCAGATTTCAGCCAGACGGGACAAGGGAACAAAAACGATAGGCAAGTTCGGATGGGCCTGGCGTAAGGGTTTCCAGTAAGTTTTATCTTACCGGTAGTACGTAGTAGCAGCAGCAGCAGCAGCGAGCAGCAAGCAGCAGGAGCAGGAGCACAGGTCGGTAGCAGTCGGGCAGCGGGTAAAAGGGGTGAGCCAATTCAGTAGGCGGACCCTGATGGCAGATTATTAGTTAGTAGTTAATGGCTGTAGGACCGCGTATTACGTCATCAGTGGCAGCCTTAGATACTGCCTGATCCCTGGTTCTAGATCGTATACTACTATGATGCAGAAACTATACATGCATCATCTGTCAAATGTACAATATTCAAAGGGCCTCGAATTGTCTCAAAATTCACCTGGTCTCGGATACCGTAGCCATGGAATTTGTATAGCATGCTGTCTCCTTACTATCCAACCTTCAATGACACAATATAGCATGCATTGATCCCACAACCCGAAACCGTGATTGTAGCTCGGCAGCTTATGCATGGTGAATAGCAATATTGAATAGATATTTTCTCCAGCAAGATTCAGTCTCATAGTAGTCCAGGCTCGGCGTACCCACAAGCTGACCGTTCGTGATTCGCACCGGCCGAGGCCTAACCTGCCTAATTCGGAAGTATTCCCAACCGCCCAGCTGATTCGCATTGGATAATGAATGGCCACAACGCGATGAACTGTTTTAGTCTGCTCACAGATACTATATAATGGAGCTACAATCGCTCGTCAGCCTCTGCATCCTCTAATATCAGAGTCCCCGCCAACATTCTATATCAGAACAATGACGACATCGAAAGAATGGCAGAAGATGCTCAATGGAGAGCTCTACGCTCCTTGGGATGCAGACCTTCAGGCCAATCGGCAGCGCTGCAAAGAAGCATGCGACAGGTTCAATCAAGCTGGGCAGGTCGCTCGGCGTCGCAGGGTGGAATTATGGCGGGAGTGAGATCTGCTACCGGCTTTTGGGAATGCTCTTCAAACTGACCTCTTGATGTACAGCATCCTAGGTGATACGCGCCCTCTGCCTCCAGCCCATTCCGATCCTCGGGAGGATGAGAAGCTCTTTGACGATACAGATCCCTATGTGGACCCTCCCATCTCGGTGGATCACGGCTTGAACTTCAAGGTCGGCAAAAAAACCTTTCTGAACTACAACCTTCATGTCCTGGATACATGTCTCGTGACCATTGGTGAAAGGGTGCTTACCGGTCCGAATCTTTGTATCTACGGGGCTACCCATCCTTTGGACCCAGCTGTGCGACGGGGTATAGAGGGCCCAGAAGCCGGCAAGGAAGTGCATATCGAAGACGATGTCTGGATAGGAGGCAGTGTAATCATCTTAGCCGGAGTTACTATCGGACGAGGCAGTACGGTGGGAGCTGGATCTGTGGTGACAAGGGTATGTCATGCCATATTCTGGCCACTATGTCTCTGAACGCATCGGTTAACCTAATTGCAGAGCGTTCCTCCCTTCCATTTTGTTGCCGGAAACCCAGCCCGCATCATTCGCCGGATCGAAACGAGCATGGATCCCGATCAGCGCAAAGAAAGTCAACCCGAGTGATGCAATAGCCTTTACAATATGTCATTATTCGCGATCTACTTCTAAATAGACAATCGATAACCCAGCGGCGATTTGCAGATCCTGCAAATAAGAGGCATGATTATCAATGGTAACCGATGTACGTATAACTTCATATGATTAGGTAGTCATGCTGTCGTGCCAGTCCGGGGGAGTGTGTCTAGGTTGAGTGGTAAGCTTTGAAATTCCCGAAATATTAGGGTGTCACTTACAAATGCCGTCCATGAGATATTCGTATAATCATCTTCGGCCTGAGCCGCACGAGCATCCCAAACCTTTCTTAATATATCAGCAGGGACCGGATTGCGAAACTCCGATCTTCGCTCAACTTCGCGCAGTCTCGTAAGGACATAATACTGCGAATGACGCGAGATACAGTCAGATCCTGCCATAAAGAGTGGGAAGACAAGGATTTCCAGTAACGAGCTTTCCGGAGCAATGATTGCCGTCGCGTCGAGAATCTTTCGAACACACTCTTGTATGTCAGAGCTGCTAGCTGGCTTCGACGGGTCTAGCAGCCGAAGAATACGCAAGATACATGCAAACTGGAAAGCCTCCGCTATAAATAGCCAGAGAGGATCATGACTAGGGTACTCTCTTCGTTTTGGATCCCATGCATAGAGCTTGTGCTTTGCTAGGAGCAGGGCGATTTGATACTCATCCCAAGTGAGCCAGCCTAGTGTATGTTCCTTTGCCTTTTCCAGTGCTGCGCCGATGACCAGGAAGACTTCTCTCGGGCACCCATTTACCAATTCGAATTTTCTATCGCTGGCGCAAGCAACTAGCTCACGAATATCCTGAGAAAAGCACATTCTCTCGGGGCCAGCAGATGCTCGAATTATGTCAAGCCTGGTTTTTCACTAGTGAGCCTTGTATCGGAATAATCAGGCCTGGGTTAACATACCAAGCCAGGTTACCGAGGAAGAACATGGCCCGCTGGCGTCGGCCATGTAGCCCCTCGGCGATCAACAGCTGTTTACAGACGGACATGGCACCTGTGATGTGAATACCATGACTCGATACCCCTGATTCAGAAATCTATTTCCTGTTAGTTAAGATGCTCGAGCAATAGATTGTGGCATAAATAGGGCACACAAAGCCTACATCATGAAGCAACAGGACCTGTATTATCGCTAAGACGGTATCTTGCTCGTCTTCGAGCAAGGATGTTCTTTGGCTCTTACGGATTTCTTCGCTCAGGGCACGTATGGCTTTCATACGGTATTCAACCGCCGTGGCTTCGTGTAGGAACTCATCGCCAATCACCCGCCCGAGGTGGGAAGCAGAAAGCCCAAGAACAGCGTACAATAGCCCGATCTTTCTGCGCGCCAGCGGGAGAATATATGCACGGTAAGGGTTCTCTGCATCATCCCCAACCTCAGCGATCTGATGAGGGCAAATAACGTCATCATCTGCAGCGTATCTTTAGTGTCTTGCTATTAATGGTTCGAGGGGTGAAGCCTACAATGGCTTAACAGCCTAGCTGTGTCGGGCGAACTGAGAAGCGTGGCTACATCGTCTGGAAGCTTTGGCAGCGGCCGACTGTGAGCTTCAGCTGGCTTTTCAGGAACAGGGGTTTCCCTGGCTGTTGTCTTTGGGCTACCACTTAAAACGGCCGCAGAAGCTTGATCACTTTCCAAGTTGGGGTGAGGAGTCTCAGTAACTTCCTGGGTCGGTGGCACTTGGGTATCCAAGGCAGCATCGCTTATTCCTGATTGACCTCCGGTAGAGATTCTACTGTTGGTAGGTATCCGAGCACCCTTCCATTTACCTCGACTAGCGATCCCGCAGAATCTGAACCGTTCTGGGTATCCTCCACATACTAAACCTTTCGAGACACATCGTTGACAACTCGGACGGCCACGGTCACACTTGCGGCACTTTTGCCGGCAGGTCAAGCAAGCGGCACCTGTACAAGTGATAAGTATCAAATTATCACATACATTATGGGTCGTTACAGTCCTACCAGCTCGTGGCATTCCGCCGTCAACCTGCGGGCTTACTTTCGCATGGAAGGAATAATTGATGACGTGAAAGTCCTAATAAGGCAACGGCATCACATGCAGGGACTGCACCTTATCTCCAAAGCCCTCGCGGCGGAAATCCCGGTGACCGCTGTTGCTATCCGCTAAACAGAGCTCACAACGTGTTCTGTTACTATCCGACCCCAGAAAATGATGCTTCATCCCCAGCCTGCTGGCCATTTTACCCGATTAGGCTTCAGAATGAAGATTATGTAATAGTGTCATGTCATGTGACTGTGTTGATGAACCATGCACCATTCCCACTTTAGGCATTCATTCAGCCCAACTGAGTCTGGAATCTTCGGGTCTACCACAAAGGGTACTATAGTTGGTCAGATGGGGACTTTGCTTTCCTCCGCAGATGCTTGAGTCGACCCAATATAACATACCCAATATTTCATCCTATATGGCACAGGTACGCTGCCTTCCGTTGTTACACTATGCAGATTACTTGTTTGTCCGTAGCAACTTTTGGATTTAGCCGTTCGCCAAATCGGCGTTTTTGAGTGCAATTACATGGACTATAGCAATTGTCGCCAGTCTAATAGCTAAGTAGTTGATGAGCTCAACGTAGGAGCCTGAGGCTATGTATGGTTTAAAATACGCTGGCCCATCGTTGGAAAAAAGAGTAGCGAAATGAAATAAGTGTTCATAGTAAAGGTTTTATAAATTATCTCTTGTTAGCAATGTCCGCCGGAAGTATATAATTTGGCGGCTAACATAGTATCTGAATTATTTGCGAGGTCACAACAGCGCACTCACAAAAGGGGTAATCTTTTTACTTAAATATATTCGAAGCCTAGAAACTTATAAAATACACATATAAGCGCACCAAAACGAGTCGTGAGTGCCAAATTATTAGCTATCGTTTATACTGAGCGAAAGGATCTGTCCTGCGCCATTATATCAGCTGGACCGCCGAGCTACCAAGTCACATGACCACTGCCCGTGAGCTTCGTGAGCCGGGCTGTCTGGCATCGACGCAATAGATCCAACCAGCCGAATCCTTCCCAACTTGCCCACGACTGATTCATCCATTTCTTTCTGGGACATATTCTCTCCAGCTTACAGTTAACCGCGCTTGCTATTTTTACACCCGCTCCGTTTGTACCAGATTTCCGCCATGGGAGACGTCGCCGTCGAGACCCCGGCGAACAACGTCACGCCTCTCACCAAGGCAGCTCCATTGGACACTATCCCCAACATAGACTCGCTCGAGGGCACAGGAAACGACGGGAGCGATGAATATGCCACATTGAAGAGATTGCAGAGACATCTAGAGTATGTTCCAACAGTGATGATGGTTGCCGCGGCACATGTTAACTCTTCCATAACAGGTACATTCAACTTCAGGAGGAGTACATCAAGGATGAGCAAAGGCAAGCTATCTACCATCTTCCTACGAGCTTACCCTACCCGAGCTAACATTTGCTACCCGTACAGGAGCTTGAAGAGAGAACTCGTTCGTGCGCAGGAGGAGATCAAGCGGATACAGAGTGTGCCTTTGGTTATCGGCCAGTTTATGGAAGCGATCGATCAGAAGTATGGTGCTGCGCAGAGCTTTCGGCATAGAACCAATAACTGATGATCCTAGTACCGGTATTGTGCAATCGTCGACCGGTTCGAATTATGTCGTCCGTATCCTCTCCACGCTCGACCGCGAGAAGCTCAAGCCTTCGTCTTCGGTCGCACTCCACCGTCACTCCAACGCCCTTGTCGATATCCTACCCCCGGAGGCTGACTCCTCCATTGCTATGCTGGGCGAGAACGAGAAGCCAGATGTGACTTATGCGGATGTTGGTGGTCTTGACATGCAGAAGCAGGAGATCAGGGAAGCAGTCGAGCTGCCCTTGACGCACTTTGACCTTTACAAGCAGATCGGTGAGCATAGCCTCCTTTCAATGCTGCTTTCTTCTGTTAAGAGTTCATTACTGATGCTGGCGATAGGTATCGATCCTCCCCGCGGTGTCCTCCTTTACGGCCCTCCCGGTACGGGTAAGACTATGCTTGTCAAGGCGGTGGCAAACAGCACGACCGCCAGCTTTATCCGTGTAAACGGCTCGGAATTCGTTCAGAAATACCTGGGTGAAGGACCTCGCATGGTTCGTGATGTTTTCAGAATGGCGCGGGAGAACTCCCCGGCTATCATTTTCATTGATGAAATTGATGCCATCGCCACGAAGCGTTTCGACGCCCAGACGGGTGCAGACCGTGAGGTGCAGCGTATCTTGTTGGAACTTCTCAACCAGATGGATGGATTCGAGCAGTCGAGCAACGTCAAGGTCATCATGGCCACCAACAGAGCTGATACTCTGGATCCGGCCCTGCTTCGTCCGGGTCGTCTGGACCGGAAGATCGAGTTCCCGTCTTTGCGGGACCGGCGTGAACGCCGGTTGATTTTCTCTACGATAGCATCCAAGATGTCTCTTTCGCCGGAAGTTGACCTGGACTCGCTGATTGTGCGCAACGAGCCCCTCTCTGGTGCGGTCATTGCCGCCATCATGCAAGAGGCTGGTCTCCGTGCTGTCCGAAAGAACCGTTACAACATCATCCAGTCGGATCTCGAGGATGCTTACGCCGCCCAGGTGAAGACCGGACAGGAAGCGGATAGGTACGGAGCATTGTCTATGCTACCCGCGATCGGGACATGGCTAACCAAGCATACAGACTCGAATTCTACCGGTAAATCAAGTATGGGACGTGCATTAGGCTGGATATCGGATCACGCAAGGCGAACAGGGGGACCATTAGCTGTATTATCAACATCTAGGCTATTTCATATTAGGACAACGACTGACGCATTGGGTATTCCGCTGGGGTAGTCTATCGGTTGGGACCAAGTACCTTGTAGAAAGTAGAACAGTAACCCACGTTGAAACCGCCACTTGGCCGGGGCGGTGATTCAACAGATGCAAGCTCCAGTTGGACGGCTACCCGAGCCTCTCAGGATCTACAGGAGTACGTGTCTGGCTCTGTGCTGCCTATTTTGTAGACAGGTCAGCGATAGGTAGATAGGACCTGTCCGCAGCTGTTGGTTAGTTTAGCAAGGCGGTTGCGCTAGTTTGAAGTAGGCAGGCACCGGGAACCTAAGGCGGTCTTACATCATCACCCGCGCTCGGATTCGCGTGATCCGACCATCACGATAAGGCCTCAAGGAACAAGGAGACCGCCAGGAAGCTTCGGATGAGACTCAGAGGGAGATAGAAAGCTTGGGAGATGGGATAGCTAGAGTAAACTTATTGTACCTGATTTTCAGGAGCCTAGAGAAGATGTACCTGGGCAACCTGGCAGCTACAATCAACTGGAGCGATAACCCGTGACGATCCCCTTGCCAAATGACGCAGCCAGGCTGGCCAACCATTGGCTGCGACCTGGCAGGTCGCTCCGCAACCAGCGCCTCCCGGCTCTAAGTCACCCGCATCACTCTTCCCTACCCCCAGACCTCCTCTTTTCCCCTGCTATCCTCCATCTCTTCTTCATCATTCTCTGTCTCTATCATCATTTCTATTCATACGTGCATCCATCAGTCTTTTTGACCCAGCCCGTCATATCCCGCTGGGTAGCCGTTTCCGCCGTCGCCCATCATGAAGTCAGCCTCCTTGCTCACAGCATCCGTGCTGTTGGGCTGTGCCTCCGCCGAGGTTCACAAGCTCAAGCTTAACAAGGTGCCTTTGGAAGAGCAGCTTGTGAGTGTGGCCTTATCATTGCATCGTTTTCTTAGCTACATAGCTTCTTTGAGGCTCCAGTATGATTCAAAGCTGATTCCGTGGTCTATAGTACACGCATAACATCGACGCCCATGTCCGCGCTTTGGGCCAGAAGTACATGGGTATCCGCCCGTCCATCCACAAAGAGCTGGTCGAGGAGAACCCTATCAATGACATGAGCCGTCATGATGTCCTGGTGGACAACTTCCTGAATGCACAGTGTATGGAGATACCGTCTTATATGGCTGATCGCTGCTGACCCTTCCTGCCATAGACTTCTCTGAGATCGAGCTGGGTACTCCCCCCCAGAAGTTCAAGGTTGTCCTGGACACTGGTAGCTCGAACCTTTGGGTTCCTTCGAGCGAATGCAGCTCTATTGCCTGCTACCTCCACAACAAGTATGACTCGTCTGCCTCAAGTACGTACCACAAGAACGGCAGTGAATTCGCCATCAAGTACGGCTCTGGCAGCCTTAGCGGATTCATTTCTCAGGACACCCTGAAGATTGGCGACCTGAAGGTCAAGGGACAGGACTTCGCCGAGGCGACCAACGAGCCTGGTCTTGCCTTTGCCTTCGGCCGGTTCGATGGCATTCTCGGCTTGGGTTATGACACCATCTCCGTGAACAAGATTGTTCCTCCCTTCTACAACATGCTTGACCAGGGTCTTCTTGACGAGCCCGTCTTTGCCTTCTACCTTGGAGACACCAACAAGGAGGGTGACGATTCCGTGGCGACTTTCGGTGGCGTCGACAAGGACCACTACACTGGCGAGCTGATCAAGATCCCCCTCCGTCGCAAGGCTTACTGGGAGGTTGACCTTGACGCCATTGCTCTTGGCGACGATGTTGCTGAGTTGGATAACACCGGTGTCATCCTGGACACTGGTACTTCCCTGATTGCTCTGCCTGCTGACCTGGCCGAGATGATGTAAGTCAAAAGTCTTGGATGTCTTGATTGAATAAACAAGCTGCTAACAGTCTTCTAGCAATGCTCAGATCGGTGCTAAGAAGGGCTGGACCGGCCAGTACACCGTTGACTGCGACAAGCGCTCGTCCCTGCCCGACGTTACCTTCACACTTGCCGGCCACAACTTCACCATCACCTCGTATGACTACACCTTGGAGGTGCAGGGCTCTTGCGTCAGTGCCTTCATGGGCATGGACTTCCCTGAGCCGGTTGGTCCTTTGGCCATTTTGGGCGATGCGTTCCTGCGCAAGTGGTACAGTGTGTATGACCTTGGCAACAGCGCTGTTGGTCTGGCTAAGGCTAAGTAAGCGGGTTCTGCGGGTTGATGTGGTATCTATGATGCTGCCTTTGCTGTCATCATTGCTTCTTGTAGCTTGATCTATGATTTTGGCAGACGAACACACGTAATGTTGTGAATGGTTATCCTCATGTTTGCAGCGGTTGCCGGATAGATTCTAGGGATCTTCAATGGAAAGCCGGTGATATCATTTAACATGTGTTGGCATTTAGGATGTAAATGGTTATGCAATATGATAGTAACAACTTGAAACTGAATAAAATTGACGTAAACCGCGTGATGCAGTAACAATAAGAAGCAACCGCGGTACCAGCCGAGTCTGGGCCGGCGAGTCTCGCCCCGCACAGGCCAGGCGCCAAAACCCAAGCAACTCTCTTGGCAGCCAAGCCTTCTTCATCACGCTCTCACCACCTCCTCCATCCAGACTTTCTCTCTGCTCTGTCTTTGTTTCATCATCCCCCACGACTGCCCTTCTCTTTAGCTGCTCTTCAATCTCCATACCCGATCGCTTCTTTGTCCCTTCGTCTGCGCTCGATATTACGAGCCCAGATTGACCCGCTTTCCACCTTTACCCGATACACCTCCACAGCGCAAACCCGCGCCCGCCTTATTGACTTCGTCGCGTCCTAGCGTGGCGAACCATCCCGCGACAACTCCATCACTTGTCCACCTGACCCCGTTCCATTCAAACACACTTCGTTCGTATCGAGATACTCGTGCGCCGCTGCGATTAAGCTAGGTCGCTGTTGTTCCTACCGACGGCAGAAGTTTCGGGAATGGCTTCATAGCTATCGAGCTCGATCCTTTTCTTTCTTCCTTTCGTTTCCTTTCGCTATCGAAAATAAACCCGTCCGCGGCCCCTCGCCCGACACTGCCTCACTCTCGGTGTTAGGGAGGCAGGAGGGGGGTTGGATACCTACAATTACTAGGAGAGCTTGCTGAGTCGACCTGTGTGAAAGAGTTATCCAGGCATGCTTCTCCGGTTACCACCTAGCCTCCATTACCCGATCACCGTCACGTCGCTGCTGAAACAGCCCGGTGATAAGGTGGAACGGGATGAGGCGCTGTTCTGGTATGTGTACCAGACGACTGTGACGGAGGGGGATGGGCTGGGGAATAAGGTGGATGTGAAGCGCAAGTTCCCGACGAAGTTCGAATCGACGGTTGATGGTGAGGTGGTGCAGTGGAAGATTGAAAAGGGGGATGTTATTGATGAGCCGTATGTTCCGACGTTTGCTGTCGCTTATTTGGATCTGGTGTTGGGATGCTGATATTTGGTTAGGGTCGATGTTTTGGAGGTTGATGAGCCATGTGCTCATGAGGTCCAGTTTGGTGGGCTCTGTGCCATTTGTGGCAAGGATATGACTGAGTAGGTCGTCTCGGGTGTTTTTGTGTTGGGCTTGACTTACGATCGTTTGCAGTTTTTCGTACAATACTGAGGTGACGGATGTGCATCGCGCGCCGATTCAGATGGCCCACGATAATACCACGTTGACGGTCAGTGAACAAGAAGCTACGCGGGTGGAAGAGGATGCGAAACGCCGCTTACTGGCGAATCGGAAACTGTCGCTGGTCGTCGATCTGGACCAGACCATTATTCATGCTACCGTCGACCCGACTGTCGGAGAGTGGATGCAGGACAAAGAAAACCCGAATTATCAGGCTCTGAGTGATGTGCGTGCGTTTCAGCTGGTAGATGATGGGCCGGGAATGCGCGGGTGCTGGTACTATGTGAAGCTACGACCGGGGCTAGAGTCGTTTCTGCAGAATGTGTCGGAGATGTATGAGCTGCATATCTACACCATGGGAACGAGGTCCTATGCGCAACATATCGCTAGTATCATAGATCCAGACCGCAAACTCTTTGGTGACCGTATTCTCAGCCGAGATGAGAGTGGCAGCTTGGTGGCCAAGAACCTGCACCGGCTGTTCCCGGTGGACACCAAGATGGTCGTCATTATCGACGACCGCGGGGACGTCTGGCGCTGGAACCCCAATCTCATCAAGGTGTCGCCGTACGACTTCTTCGTCGGCATCGGGGACATCAACTCTAGTTTCCTCCCGAAGAAGCAGGAGCTGGGACCTCCCAGCAAAGGGGGTGAGAAGCCGGCAGCGAAGACAGCCAAGGGGGGTTTGGCGGAACATCATGTCAACGGGGCGACGGCAAAGAGAGACGACCAGACAGAGGTATCGACATTGGAACAGCTGGTAACCATGGGTGGCGGCGATAATCCCAGGTTATTACAAGAGCAGAGCGATGCACAAGAGGAGACAATCATGCATCAAGTGGAGGACCGACCATTACTGCAGAAGCAAAAGGAGCTAGACGCGGAGGACGATGCAGCAGAGAGCAGCGATACATCCAGCAGCATAGACGACTCACAAGATCTGAGCAAGCACCGACATCACCTACTGGAGGACAACGACCGAGAGCTGTTCGACCTCGAGGTGCGTTTGGAGCAAGTACACCGGGACTTTTTCGACGAATATGACCGACGACGTTCACGGGCACTGGGTGGACGAGTCGCCGCCCTGCGCGGCGAAAAGCCGTCTAAGGAGAAGGACGTCGACCTGAAATTAGTCCCGGACGTCAAGATCATTATGCCTCAAATGAAGCACCGCATCCTCGGCGGCGTGACCCTCGTGTTCTCCGGCGTGCTTCCCCTCGGCACGGATACACAAAACGCCGACATCTCCCTCTGGGCGAAGAGCTTCGGGGCAGTCATTGCATCAAAGATCAACATGAAGACCACGCACCTCGTCGCGGGGCGGAACCGCACGGCCAAAGTGCGCGAAGCGACCCGGTACCCGAAAGTCAAGATCGTCACGACACAATGGCTCCTGGACTGCCTGACACAATGGAAGCGCCTAGCAGAGGAACCGTACCTCCTGCCTGTGCATCCAGACGACCGCGGCGAGCCGATCTCACCGGGATCCAAAGAAGTAGCGGAGAGCGCGTGGCTCTCATCGTCGGACGAGGCAACGGGCGACTCTGTAGCGGATGACGAAGAGGCAACAGAGGATATTCTCAAATCCGCAGGCATATCCGAAATGTCGCCCCTCGGCTACGACGACGAGGAGCAGGCCGCGGTCCACGATGAGCTCAAGGAGTTCCTGGGCAGTGATGATGAGAGTGAGAGCGACAGCGAAGCCACATTTATGGATGAGCTAGGCACTCCTGCCAGCAAGAAGCGGAAGCGCGAGGAAGGAGAAGGCGGCGACGATGACGACGACCAGGATATGGATAGTGCCGGCGAGGGCGACGAGCCAGGCTCGCGGCTAGCTCAGCGGATCAAGCGGTCATACGAGCGCAGCACGGGGCTGAAGGAGGTAGCCAGCGCAGGGGCGGTAGAGTCGACTGCAAGCACAACAGCATCTGCAACTGAACCGGGGACAGAGGAGCCGGAGCAGGTTGCTGACAAGTCGAGCCCGCCTGATCCCGCAGAGGTGGATCCGGCCGACGAGGATGACGAGCTGGAGCGCGAGATGATGGCAGCACTGGAGGGAGGGGATTACAATTCGGAGGCGGAGGAACAAATTGCGAATGAGAATGGATAGTCAGTAGCTAGGTTGGGATATTTAGTTGGATGTATTTGGCGTTGTGATATTTTGCCATGTTGCCATGTTTGCCATGTTTGCCAATAAGTGATGGCATAGCGAGGGCGTTTGAGATATATAGGAAAATACAACACTGAATATATGCTACAGATACCAGTATAAGGTTGAGCATGAGCAAGAGCTCTATATCATCCATTGAAATCATACAATCATATCTCATAATACATGACCCATCCCATCCCCCCTCTTCTCAAAGAGAAAAAAAGACTCAACGATAAAGATCCCGATTAACCTGCCACGACATAATAATCATCCAGACATAAAAGATGGTATTCACCAATTCAAACGCAAACGCCGTTCTCCAACAATTGCCTATCCAACACACATCAATTAGCATACCTCAATCCACACCCCCCAAAGGGAACAAAAGAAAGAAAAGAAAGGAATGAAAACTCACAAATAGTCTCCTCCTCAATCCACGCCAACGTCTTCCACCCATCCCCGACAGGCTTGACATTATCAATATAATTGCGACAATTATCATTAACGTTCGCGACGACCCCATACAACTGGAGCGATGTCTCCACTAGTCCCGTTAACCATAGCACGAAGAGAATGAACCCCCCTATGATGATTATCCCGGGCAGGAGGAAGCGTTGCGCCGCTAGGATTAGAATGAAGATTACGAAGAAGATGCCGAGCGCGCCGGTTGTTATCATGTAGGGGAAGAGCCTATATTCCTCCTCCGGAGGAGGAGGGAGGGTGTTAGTATGGTGGTGGTGGTGGTGTTGGGGGATATGGGGGAAAGGGTAATCGTACCAAGGAACTTCCAATCCCAAGTCATTTTGAACTGTCATGAACCAGGCGAATATTCCCAGACAGATTGCGGAGGAGGAGAGGACCACGATGATCCAGATGTTGAGTTGGAGTTCGGGCCAGTGGTACCGGCGGGGTCGGCGGTGGTAGATTCGCATTGCCATTTTGGTTTAGTATTTGTTCCTTTGGGGGTGGGGTGGTGGTGAGTATAGATGTGTGTGGTGTGGTAAGTGGTGTATATAGACAATTGGGTTGACGATGTATATAGTAGTAAGTAGGAGTAGAGTGCAGTGGTGGTTGTGATCTTCCGGGGTATGCTGATATAAATTTAATATCGCATTATATCATCATATCAGGCTGAAACAATGACTCCGCCTTAACCCTCATTCAACTTAGTATTGACAACGCATCAGGGTTGACCGTAAATGGGGGAAGCTGGGGCGAGGCGTGGGTTGGGCGGATATGATATGATGCCTGGCGGGTCTAGAACTGTGCTTTGATGTGTAGGTATCAAAGTATCGAGGCGAGAAAAAAAAATCAAGGAATGACAATTGACAAGTTAAGGAAAGAATGCAAGAAAAGTAAATCAGAGAATGAAAGAAAGACAGACAATTATGGAGTACTTACTACTCTTCGTGATGGGCGTTGGAAATTCCGGTGGCAGGACGAAACTAATGCGGTGGCAGGGCGGGTAAATTTAGTAGTAGTATCTACATCCTTCATCCATCCTCCATTCTCCGCATGGTCAAGCTCACACTAATTAAAGTTCCTCCGGATAAGCTTTAAGATTGATTGATTCAGATTGCTCATTAGTTCTCTAGTTCTACTCTAGTTCTCACTCCCTACAGCCACAGGCTTCTGCATTACAGCAAGGTATCTCCCAGGGCACTCCGGACAATCGAACATCCCGTCCGAATGGTGTCGCTAGCGCCATGCTCCTCCAGGCTGGGGTTCACCTCCACCAAATCCATCGCCACCAGGTTACCCGTCTCGTGCACACACTCGCAGATGAAGTCACCCTCGCGCAGCGTCAGTCCACCACGCACAGGGGTACCCGTGCTAGGCGCCCACTGCGGGTCCAGCGCGTCCACGTCGAACGACAGGTGGATCGGTGTGTCATTGCCAATGTGCGCCAGGGCCATTTCGACCACGCGGCCAATGCCGTACCTGCAGATTGTCAGAACACCACTGCATCATCGGAGGATACATAAGGGTAAGGAGGAGGAAACCTACCGATCAACATCATGCATGCTAAACGCCTTAATGCCATGCTCACGAAGCAGCTGCTTCTCACCGCGATCCACATCCCGAAGACCAATGTACACCAGCTTGCGGGTGTTGACAATGTGCTCATCCTGCAGCCAGCCGAAGATGTCCTTTTGTTCCTCACGAGCCAAGCGCGTCAAGAACGCCATGGGCATACCGTGAATGTTACCACTAGGGCTCATCTCAGGGATGTTGATATCAGCGTGCGCATCCACCCAGATGACAGCCATTTCACGACCCAGTCGCTCACGAATCGCCTTGGCCGTGCCGGAGATGGTACCGATAGCGATGGAGTGATCACCACCCAGGGTCAGCACGAACTTGCCCTCCTTGGCGTGCTCGTAGACCTGGGCGCTCAGCGACTCGGTAACGGCGCTGACCGACCGGGGCTTCTTCATGCCGCGGTGGTCGGGGTCGGACTCGGGCATCTTATCTTCGTAGTGGTGGACCTTCTCGTCATAGTGCAATTCGTAGCCCAGATCGTCGCGCAGTTGCTCGAGCAGACCGGCTTGAACGAGAGCCATCGGGGCTGCTTCGACGCCCATCTTGCACTGTGGTCGGGGTATGGTGGTTAGTGGGGGTTCTTCTTTTACTATGCACGCTACTAGAAGATCGACGGATCCGTCGTCATGGAATTCTTCTGTACGTACCTGCCCGCCATTGAAACCAACGGCCACGACGCCCAGCTGGTTGGGCTTGGAGAGGAATCTCTGCCGGATTGTCGAAGGAGAAGTCATGGTGAATGTGTGAGAGAAAGAGGAGAGGTGAGGGGAAGAGTTGGAGGGGTAGGTCGCGTGGGATGAAGGAAGGAAGAAAAAGAAAAGGTTCTAGAAGGGCGGACCCAAAGATGAGATAAGATCGTGAGTGGAGACGATCCGAGGTAGACTCCAAAGCACCACCACAAGAAGTTGGACCCTTGGGAGAGAGTTAGGAAAAGAGAAGGGAAGTTAGAAGGGATGAAGGAAGAAGTAGAGTCCAGATAATACTGAAAGAAAGAAGAATGAAACCGGATTGCAGGGGCGACGAGTCGGTTAAAAGCATTCTCAGCCGTGGGGCGTCCGCGATCGCTAAGACCTGCTTTTAGGGAACGGTTGTTCCCCTAAGTACAGGTCCAGGAGAGCATCCACTTCCTCCGCCCGTTTCCATTAGCAATTCACCCCCGACAGATGACGTTCGGGGATAAGAGGGGATAAGGGTGGGGAAATCACCGTGTGATGGGTATCATGCATGCTTATTGCTATCTATTGCTTTATCTATGTACTATACAGGTATACATTATCGCTGATCCAAGATCAACTCCCGCAGAATCGCATCTGCTCTCGGCGCTTCCACTCGTCCCTTCTCGCCCATGCGCATCATCTGCCCGACAAACCAGCCCAGCTTGCCCAGTTGGTTCTTTTGTCGGATCTGTTCTACCATGGCGGGGTTCAAGTTGATTGCTGCCTCCGCCAGCGCTACGTACTCCTCGCGCGACAGTGGCCGCAGCAGCAGGTTCTCCTCCTCCAGCAGCTGGGGGATCGGCCGCTCATCCCCCGCGAACACCATGGCGAGTACCTGCTTCGCCGTCGGCCCTGTGATGTGCTTCCGCTGCAGCTGGTCGATCAGCGCGGCCAGACTCGGGGCAGGCACCCGCGCCGCATCCCACGCTTCCTCCGCTTTGGCCCATAGACCCCCAAGCTCATGAAGAACCCAGTTGCCGGCCACCCGCGCCAGTCCTTTTTGTGCCTTGGGGTCCTGGTCCGACTGCAGCGCTCGCAGGAGGTCCACGACTTCCTGATAGTACTCCAACCGCGCGCCATCTTCCAGTTCCACGAGCGGTTTCGCATCCTCTATGGGCAGCCCATACTCCGGCCCGGCCAGTAGTTCAATAAGCGCATCCGAGGAGGTTGGGAGATTGGTCTGAAGCGCTGCCACGAGGTCGGCGCCGATGTATAGGGGCGGAAGATCCGGGTCGGGCATATAGCGATAGTCGACCTCCCCCTCTTTGCCTCGTAGTTTGCGCGTTTCGGTGCTTCCAATCGTCCAGCCGCGGGTTTCACCTTCTACCACCCCGCCACTCTCAAGGACGGCAATCTGCCGGTTCTTCTCCGCAATGATGGCATCCTCGACCGCCTTGAAACTGCTCAGGTTCTTGATCTCCGTGCGTTGTCCGAGTCCGCCGATGCCACCGTACTGATGCGTGCCGGCTGTGTCACCTCGCTGGCGGATGGAGACGTTGACGTCAGCCCGCAGACCTCCCAGCTCCATGCCAGTTGTCACCGCATTACATGACTGCAAGATGGACTGGATCTTCCGAACACAGGCCGCCGCGGTGGCGGGAGTATGGATCTGCGGCATAGTGATGATCTCGACGAGGGGGTGGGAGACACGGTTGAAGTCGAGGAGTTGCGTCGAGGGCGGGTATTCTTGCGACTTGGCGGTATCCTGTTCCATCTGAACCTGCTTGATGCCGATGCGAACCGTGTCGCCGTCCTCAGGCGCAATGCCATCATGGCGGAACAGGTCTACATAGCCATTCTTCGCAAAAGGCTCTACTCTGTGTCAGAGCACTAATCGGCTGCGAGAGAGGGAGGGAACTATATTACCGTAGTATTGGGTGATCTGGTATCCGGCCGGCTGGTCCTGGTAGAAGTAATGCTTGCGGTCGAATTTGCTGACTGGCTGTATCTCGCAGTTCAAAGCAAGGGCGGCGCGGAGGGCGGGGAGAAGCGTTGCGATTTGAAACTCCTACACCATAGCTGTAAGTGTCTGCACCTCATGCATAGAGAATTCATCCACAAACCGGTTGCGACCCCGGGAATGCTAGATCGAACAGCGCAACGTTCGAATTGGGAAGATCCGTAGATGATGTAGATGCTCCTGCTCAGCGATCAGCCAAACAATCCAACCCAATTGTCTAGAGTACAGCTACACACGCGAAAATAATTTGGACTCGGTGTTCAACTGCGCGTGGATCTCAATGCCCACGGTCAACTCCCACTTCTGTCGGGAGGCCTCCTCATTCTCTCGAGTCTGTCGCTTGCGCGCCTTGACGGCCTTGGCGTCCTGTTTCAGCTGCTTTCGCAGGGGAATGCGGTCCGGCGAGTCGGTCGTCGCAGTTTGGAGGTATCGAATGGGATGCGAAAGGGACAAGGCAGGGAGGGGTCTAAGGGCGCGCCTGGCAGTCTGCGGCCGGGGAAGATGGCATTGCGGGCAGGCGAGCGAGCGGGTTGCTCGCGGGCACTGCCGAAGCCACGGTCGAAGCATGAGCCCGAGGGCAAGGAGGTAGGCGAAAGGACGGGTCCACGAGAGGAAGAGAAAATCGGACCGGTCGCGGTGGGAGAGATGGCAAAGAAATTGGCACAATCCTTGAGGTCTGGATCTGGATTGGAATCGATGAAGGACGGAATTAAGCGCGGGCGGAGATCACGGCCCGTACCATACGGTAATTACCCTCACCGCTGGTACACCATCGAGATAATAGATATCATATCGATGTTTGGTACGAATAGTAACAAAGTATACAATAACTCAAATGAAGGAATGGAATGGAATGGTGGGGAATACTACTTAAGCGCGATAGTAGTCATCATATGCACCAATGAGAATATACCCGAATGGTGTTCCAGGACATCCTATTCGCGATGCGCTGTGAACAGTGTTCGGAGGCAGCCAGTGCCAGCGGTTCAGCTGCAAGTCATGCTTCCAAGAGTAAATTCCAGGAAAGGGAATGTCATGCATTTTGACTTCAACCCGCGGATCAGCGGAAAAAAGCAGACAGAGAATGAGAGCGGGATAAAAGTTAGATACAAACAACAACCCCTCGATACCAGCACATGAATGGCTTCTCACCAACTCATCGTCGGGGATGGATGAATGACCTACTTAGGGCCATCGTGTCCAACAACGATAACGCCGAAGAATTTCAGTCATGCAAGGTGGGATCGGCAGCGAGTCACCGTCAGCCAACGCAGCATAAACTTCGAGGATGTTACCAGCATGGAGGGGGAACAGATGATCCCCAAGTGAAGCCCGCATGGATTGATTTTGTAGTATAGAAAAACATGTCGAGTTGCTGCTCTTCAACTATCGATAGCATGTGGATCCTCTGCACATCCCACCTTCTGTATTTCTTCCCTCATTTTTTTACTTCTCCCTCGTCCTTTTCGCTGCTCTCTATTGCGCTTCTCTTTCTCTACTCCTCTCATTTTCAGTCCATGTATTAATAAATCGTCCATCTCGCAATCGAGAAAAAGAAAGCATCCGACATCCCGTCTCTGACAGGGAAGGGCCCCTCGCGATCGGAGCAGATCAGGAACTCGGGGCGCCTACCACCACGAATGAGACTCTCTCAAGGCTGCCTCGCGTCCAAAAAAAGGACCTGTTCAGCGCTCTTCTTCGTCGCTCTTGTCGGAGATTTGTCTCATCTTCGTCCTGGGTGTTGGGGGCTGATTCGCCTTGTCCATCCAGCATTTACTGTTGACTATTTCCGGTTCTGACTGTTATCCTGTCGACCTTCCATCTATACAATTAATTCCTTACTCTCTCGCTCTCTCTATACTGTCTAGACCCCAAACCGATCTAAGAACCCGGCTAATCGGCGGGATCTCCAGTAGAGGGATCCATAGTCCGTCAGTGATCTTCAAACTACGCTTGTCAAGGGTATTCCGATCCGCTACACAGGGAGGAAGAGACCTATCAACCGCATTCTGTCCTACATTCTTGGACCCTCGTCCGAGATTCGCGCCGTCTCTGAGGCCCTACCCTTCTCCCTTGATATGCCTTGGGTGCTTCCCCTCCAAACACCATCACCATCACCCTTTAGAGTACCTTCTGATTGTTCTTTCTGTTCATCTATTGGGGTATGGCTGGTTTGCGCTGCGGCCTTTTGAAGCTACCATATTGACCACTAGTAACCACCCGATCTACCCATGATGCCCTTCTACTCTAGCTCTACTCGTTCCAAAAAATCTAAGAAAGATGGGACGAGCAGAGCATCCACGGCTTCGGTCATCTCTTCAAACTCGCAATCCACCAAAGGTCCCAAACTGTCAGTGGAGAAACCCAAAGTAGACAGCCAAACCAAATCTACTATATCGAAGAGCAACAGCAACGGGTCCACTGCGCGGCCACAAGCAGCTCAGAACAAACATGACTCCGATCGCAAAGCACCCAATGTGTTCGAGTACCTCGAAGATAACTCGACTACAACGGATGATTCGTCTGATGATGAGTACGAGCATCACGTACCCAGCAATAATGCCAAGGGGGCATACAAGAACGCAGTCCGTCAGATGTATCGCCCCGCCGCGCAAGCCACTGATGCGCACAGCCGTACCTCGTCCATACTGTCAAAGTCCTCGGCGAACTCTCAGAAAACCCCCAGTTCAATTGACATTCCTCCAAGCACCGTGACCTCAAACACCGTGAAGAGCCACATCCCAGCGCATAAACCCTCACTGGACGGGGCATACAGTGCGGTGGGGGCGTTCCCCGACGGCTCGAACTACTATGAGAAACGAAGCGTGGACTTGAATGCAAGACCGGAGACATATTACCCTCATAATTCTGTCTCTCTTCAGCGGTCGCCACTACCCCCATCGCCGCCGCGAAGCCCTGAAGAAGATCTTCACCGGCCCACACGACGGAACAGGCGCAACACCAAATCCTCCTCAGACATCTCCGGATATAGCCTTCTCGCTACCCGGCTGAGCTCGGCCACGGAGACCCAGGAGCCCCGTCTCCCTCCTCTGTATCG